CTCTTTGCCCACGCCCTCCCCAGCACACAGAGGGACCTTCCACATAGGAGGCCCCCAAGCATGTGTGGCTTGTGCTTCCATCTTCCTCTCCCTCCCACAGCCTCCGTGTAGCCTAGGCAGACTGACCTGCACCCCTCTGGGATGAGCATGGGACCCCCAGGTCTGACCTAACAGCCCATCCCATCCCCTGGCCACAGGAATTGGGTCAGGAATGCCCACGTGATTCCAGGTGGCCCAATGAGAGTTTGCTCTGGGATTTAGGGGAGGGGACGATGAGGAAAGAGGTGCCTTTGGTTGCTGTGGGGGGAGAGATTGGGGGGGCAGGAGGGGAGGGTATTAGCCTGAAGCTAACAGGGGGAGGGCCTGCCTGAGAATGAGGCCAGCAGGGAAGACAGCAGGTGACAGGTAGCAAGACAGGGATGGACAAAACCCTCCTACAGTGCTGGAGGCCCCAGATCCAGCCTTGCCTGAGGCCAGGACTGTCCTGGCACCTTTCAGTTGCACAAGCCAGAGAATCCCTTTTTTGCATAAGCCAGTTTGAGATGAGTTTCTATCAAATAGAAAATGGACAGAGAATACTCAGTGAATATTGGAAGATGATTCTTTTGTAGAAAACTTTCAAAGGGTTTTTCAACTCACTGTCTCCAAATGGCAGAGGTTGAAGTAGACGAGTCCCATTTCACAGATAAGAATATAGGTCCTGGGAGTCTAAGTATCTTGTCCACGGTCATGAGCCTGCTTGGTGACAGAGGTGAGGCCAGAACACCGCTCTAGCGTATATGCCTTTCCCTTCTCCACCCCTGCATGTGTCTGAGAAGGCAGCTACATTTCCTCAGCCTCATATATTTTGATGAACTTTTCTCTTCCAGACTTCACATCTGAAAAGTCCTGGCTTCTAAGATGGAGCATGGGCCACTTTACCCGAAGACCCCGGTGAGAGGCGTTCTTGTGCATCTCGGGCCATGAATTCCCCATGTGGACGCTGTATCTTAGCGGTTCCCAACCTTCCCCTGCCTACGACATTGCTGAATCTGTGGCTGCCTTGGCTTCCCCATCAACCTCTCCTGGCCCCAGCGATGCTTGGGGAGATAGAGCACATGGAGAAATAGAGCATCATGACAGACAGAGGACCCCCTCCACCCACCACCCATAGCCTGGGCCTGGGGCCCAGAGACACTTAAAACACATGCTGCCTTCACACCTTCCCCTGTACCCAGCTGGTGGAGGCTCTGTGGATGATGACACAGGCCCTGCTGGGTTCCAAGAGGCCTTCTGGTTTAACATCGTGTTTATGCAAGACGAGGCACCTTCGTCCCCAGGATCCACTCTCCTCTCCTTCCTCAGCCCCACTCTCGCCTCCACCTGGGCAGGCTGCAGGATTCATACAAAATTAACCGGAGGTTCCGTTTCACAACATGCCAGTATCCAGTTCCCACCCCCCTGCTGCTGCTCCACCTCTTTTGTTCCCCTCTGTCCCCCACCAGGAGACACACAATGCAGGGAGCACCCAGCAGGACCTGTATGAGTGGCCCCTTCTGACAGCCCGAGGGGCAGTTGTCAGAAGGTGGAGGACTGAGGGTGTGTGTGCCAAGTGGCTCAGGGCGGTGCCTCTCTTGAGCATTGGGAATTGAAGCCAATTGTTCCATGGGTGACACAGTGTCCTGTGTCTGGTCCCTTGGCTGCAGCCTTCCATCACATACAAGGGAGAGGCACCAGGGGCATCCCCTACCTCTTCTGTCTCCCTCGCCTCTTTCTGTGAATATTTGTCTGAGCCCTCAGGCATTGTACCAGGTGCTGAGGACACAGCAGAGAATGACAAACAGCTCCTGCCTCTGGGGCCTCATGGGCCACCCCAATACCTATCACCCATCTTTCCAAACTCATCGCAAAGCAGCCTGCTCTGGGAAGCCTTCTCTGGTAGCATATTGACCTTCTGTTTGGTACCATCTTATTTATTTATTTATTTATTTATTTATTTATTTATTTATTCATTCATTCATTCATTCATTCATTCATTTTGGAGAATGAGAGAGGGAAGGAGGAGGAGAGAAAAGGCGTGGGGGAACTTAAGCAGTCTCCCACCAAGCACAGAGCCCAGCCCAGGCCTCCATCTCAGGGCTCCAAGATCAGACCTGGGTTGAAACTAAGAGTCAGATGCCCAACAACCACCCAGGTGCCCAGGTACCATCTTATTTAATTGCCTATTTCTTTCATGGGGACAGAGCCCACGCATGTTATTTTTTTATACAAAAAAATTGGCTAGGGATGCCTGGGTGGCTCAGTAGTTGAGCGTCTGCCTTCAGCCCAGGGTGTGATCCCAGGGTCCTGGGATCGAGTCCCACATCAGGCTCCCCACAGGTAGCCTGCTTCTCTCTCTGCCTGTGTCTCTGCCTCTACCTGTGTCTCTCATGAATAAATAAATAAAATCTTTAAACAAAAGAGAACTATTTGGCTCTACAATGATAATGAACAACATTTCAGAAGTGTCTAGGGTACGCCATACACCACACGAAGCCCTTCATGTGGATTATCTAATTTCATATTCATAACATCCCCATGAGGTAGATAGCATTGTCACTCCCATTTCACAAACAAGGCAACTGAGGCTCAGAGAAGTTAATTGAATTCTTTGTGTGTCCCTTGAAGAGTAAGCATATCAGGATTTACACCTGGGTCTTGGCTCTACAGTCCTATGCTGGAAGGGTGTGGAAGGAAAGGAAGCAGTGGAGGGCATGGAGAGCAGGACGTTGCCAGAGTGGAATGGAACCAACAGGAGAAGAGGGAAGTAATGATGCCGAGATTGGAGACATGGGCCATCCCTGGCCTACAGGGAGCCAGGTCTACCCCCTGGTCATCAGCAGAGTCAGGCCTTTGGGGAAAAGGTGGTAGCTGAGCCCCTGGCCTGTGGTGGCAGGAGGTGGTACCCCAGGTAGGAGTTGGTTTCTCATGGTGTCAACCCTCCTCTATCACTTGCAGAGATCTTTTTGCCTAAAATTAGCTGCATGTGAAGAGGAAGGCTAATTTATGCGTGGCCTGGAGCAGTTTCCTGTAGTGTGACTCAGAGGCTGGCTCCTTGCTCACGTCAGCAGACCAGGGGCACAGGGTGTTGGGAATAGCCAACCTGAGGCCCCGCCTGGAGCCGGCCCAGCCCTAGACCATGTGGCTTTTAAGCTGGGGGCCAGGGCTGGAGGACCAAGCATTTCTTGAAGCCAGAAGAGGGCCAAATAGGGCATGAGGGCTGAACACGAGTGAGGATAAAGAAAAGTTCCCTGGTGGCTCCAAACTACTCAGGCCCTTGCCAGACAGAAGGCACCTTTAGAGGACTGTTCCCAGGTGTACATGCTTGGCTCAGGCATGAAGACACATCTGAGGATGGTGTCCAAGGCAGCTGTGTTCAAAGCCTGCTCTGATGTGGAAGTGTGGTGACCTTGAGCCCTCATGCTTCTCATCTGTGCAATGGAGGTAGCAACACCTGCTTCTAGGAACATGTGTAATAAGAATGCAAAACAGCCCAGTAAAAAGCATCACACCATTCATGGACATTGGCTAACATTCCAGAAAGGTCAGATTCCACCCTTTCCAGAGAACATGACTGCTACTTCCAGAGTTATGATAACCATAATGAAAACAACAGCAACAAGACTTGAGATTTATTGAGACTTAGACACTGGGCACTTGGCCTAATCTCATTCAATGTTCACAACCTATTTTACTGATGGGGAAATGGAGGTGTTTAGTCTGTGGGCCTGAGTCCTAACACATAGCACTATTTATGGGCCAGGCATTGTTCTAAACTACTTCACTTTGTCCTCACCACCCTATGAGACAGTCACTATTTTTATCCCATTTTACATATGAGGAGACTGAGGCATGGAGACGTTGATACCTTGCCCAGAATTCCACAGTGGGTAAATGGCAGGGCTAGGATTGTAGCATTATGCTCCTCTGCCTCTCCCCAAACCTCTTGCAGCTCTAACCTGCACCCCAGGAGATCCTTCTAGGGACCAGTGCAGCAGGGGCTCTGGTTAATCCTGCTATGGGCTTTCCTTCTTCTCAGAGATCTTTCCCATCAGAACTCTGATTTGGTCCTCAGGAAAAATTAGGAAACCAAGGCCCAGTGAGGTCAAACAAAAGGTCCCAAAGCAACATGGCTGCCAGGCAGCAGAGCAATTTTTAGAGCTCTTATTATTCCTTCCACCACAAAGATGAGAAAACCAAGTCTCCTTGACTTTCTGCATAATACCTACCTTTTTGCAGGTCCTGGCATCCTGTGGGATTCCATCAAAGAAATGCTGCCATGCTACATGCTTTTCCTTCTCTTTCCTCCATAGCCAAGTTCAAGTGCCTCTTTCTCCCGGAAGCCTTCCCTGACCTTGTCTGCCTGCCTACCTCACCCCTCCACTGAGCTGTGGGATCCCTGCTACACTTGGGCTGGATTATGTTCTGTATTTGGCTGCTCAGCAGTCTGAGCCGCTCCACCCTCTTCCATTCCAGGTACCAGACTGGGCACTAGATGTATATAGAGGAGCAGGACAGGATTCCTCTTCCTCTTCCTTCTGCCCAATAGCAGATGACCTGGCTTTGGTCCCCTTCAGCAGAGCTCCCTGAAGGTGAAACCGTCTCTCTCCTGAGATGCTAGGTCTGCTCATTTTGGCAGTTACCAAAAACCCCCACACCCATCTCCAAAGCAAGACACAATCAGGCATCTGTCCCCTCTCCCCTAATGGCCCAGCTTCCTGCTTGCCCATCCTCTAGCAGCTCCACAGCCTGTGGCTGCCCCAGAGATCTAGGGAGCCAGCATCAGAGCTTGGATTTGGGACAGCTGGACACAACCCAGGCTGGTGACATGGGTTGTGGAGCTGGATTTGAACACACGGTGGCAATGTTGTGGTCTCATGCTTATACCCAGATGAGGGGGCTCTCTGGGCCTGGGGAAGGGAGCCTGGGGTGGGTGGCTGGATCCTAAATCCAAGCACTGTGTTCAAGTCTCCCACGCCTACCTTCCACAGGTGAGGTTTTGAGGCGCCGGCAGATGGCTTCAGTGTCACCATAAGTCTCTTTGATCTTGACCACAGCCTCGGTGCCCCGTAGCTCCATTAGAGAGCGGAGCTCTTCCATTGTGCACCCAAACTCACCCCCATGGCTCGACTCATTTCTTTGGTTTTTGGAGTAAAAATCGCTGTTGGTCATGTCACCCATGTTTGCTCCAGTCCCTGTTCAGGGTGGGCCCGAGAGTCAGCGCTGGACAAGAGACTGCTGGGCGATGGCTCCGTGTGACTGTCCTTAGCACAACCTCACTGGATGACTGTGGCTCCTGGTGGCCGACTTTGGGTTCCAGGAGGAGGGGGTGGTTGAGGTGGGCTGGCGACAGCAGTGGTGAGCTTCAAGGTGTATCCCTGGGCACGGGGCAACGTCCAGGGGCCAGAGGGGCTCAGGGCTGCAGACCCAGGAGTCTCCATTCAGTGGGGCCCATGCTGCTCCCTGGAGCTGGCATCTACATGGTCAGGGGTGGTGGCTCCTGTGGAGGCAAGCACAGAGTGGTGACAAGGGTCAGGCACTGGAGACTTCATGGGACAGGTGCTCAGGAAGGCCCAGGCTCTGTGTGTTTGTACACACACAAACCATCCCAAATAATACCCACTGCATACACACATACCCCATAACACACCAGCACTCACTGTAAATCCAAATATACTAGAGCCCACCTGGGCACTCTACAATATACCACCCCCGGGACATAGCCTGATTGACCCCCATAATACACCATAACTCGCTAAATATTTAACACACTGACTTCATGACATGCGCCCTGGTGCATATACACCCACTGACATACACAGCTCAGGGTGCTCTGCAACACCCAACCTTCCTACTTTTAGGGCCCACCCCACCACCATAAACACAAGCCAATACATGAGTCCCACTTCCCACACACCCTGGTGGACACCCCTCTTCCCTCCATAAACACTATCACACACAGTCAGACTTCTAGGAATACATCTTAACATTCCCACCCCCTTTCCTCAAAAATACCTGTGCTCTGAGTCTTGTTTACACACACACCATGCTCTCACAATCTGGAGCATAACACTACCCCCAGTGCAGTAAGTAATACCCCCTAAGTAATACCCCCCAGGCTCCCCAGCATTTATGCTTTTTCCATCTGTGCCACCTACATCTGCTTACATGTTGTTGTCCTCACTTTAGTTTCACAGGCATGGGAATGGGAGAAAGCTGCCCACCTTCACCTGCTGTACCCAACCACATTAATCAAGGCCCTTGGCCTGGCCAGAGGAATCAGCTCATGCATATTCACCAGGACATCACTGAGCCTCAGCGTCCAGCCCATTGCCGCTCCCGCCCCCGCCCCCCTCCCCCCGGCCCCCAGCATGACCTGGGGTCCATGGAGCCCTCACCTGGGGGCCCCCACAGTTCAGCACCACAGATAGCAGCCAGGATGTCCCTTGGGGAGTCCTGGAGGAGGAGGAGAAGGAGGAGGGAGCTCCGGCTTCTCCCTGCCGCCCGCCCGGCCACCCTTGCAGAAGTGTGGCATCTGCGGGGCTGCCAGGAGAGAATCCAATCCACCCCGACACCCAACACCGGTGGCCAAGGTCCCCGGCAAGCGTTGGGTGACAAAAGGCCTCTGCTGAGCTTGGCTGGGCCTGGCATGGGGACTGGCCCCACCCAGTAGGCACAGACAGCTGGCTATCCTAGGTCTGGGACAGTAAGTGGGAAGGTTGGGGGGGAGGGGAGGAAGATGGGATTGAGCCCCACCCTCCCAGCTCCAACTCCTTCCCCTTGTCCCCTCCCCATCTCTTTGCTTCATTGTCCTTTCCCTTCTTGCAAAAAAGTGCTGGAGGCATTTTAGAGTCCATTTCATTTTCCCAGTAAGGAACTGGAAGTTCAGAGATGGAAAGGAACTGGTCCAGAGCCACACTGAGCAAGCGGGGAGAGAGTCCGGAGGTGGGCTGGCCTCTGGATTCCCAGCTTGGTGCCTTTTCCCCTTCCCCTAGGGGGCGCTCCCTCCTTACTCTCTGGAGAGCAGGGTCTCATGGGTGAAAGGTGCTTGATGGCAGCCAACAAGATAGGCTCTTGAGCCAGAGCAACCTGGGTTCAGACCCAAGTCCTCCCAAATCCCTGGGCAAGTCCCTACCTTCATTTTTCCAAGGCTTTGTTTCCTCATCTGTAAAATAATAATCATTGTCCCCTGTCCTTTTGCTACCTCCCAAATGATTGGGAAATAATTATAAATCATGTTCAAATTCACTGTGTTTCTACCTGGGTTATGGGGCTTCCCAGCCATGGGTCAGGGGGTGCTGGAGCCACAGGAGAAAGCTGTTGTGCCTTACAGGAGGGCACCTTCACTCAAGGATGCAGTAGGAAGCCCAATTCTTACCCCGAGAGCAATAAGCATCTTAATAGAGTGGAATATAATGGTATTGATGCTGCAAGCAGAGACACAAGAAACCAGAGAAAGAGTGTGCTTGGGGGGGGGTCCCCACCCCTAGTCCTATAGGAGCACTCATGGTCCTTGGCCATCTGAGCATACACCACCCCAAAACCCATTAGTTTTGACCCCAACAGTGCATCCCTATGAGGAGCAGGTAAGGAAGGGACCAAGGATGCCTTGGTCGAGATGCCATAGAGGTTAACTTCAGGGGCTCTAGAAACTATATCTCTGGGTTCAAATTCTAGCCCCTCCACCTCTCGGTAGAATGTAAAACGAACAAATTTTAGTTTCATTTCATAAAAAAGGGAGGGGGAATAATAGTATTTACCTCATAGGTATTATGAGGCTTAAATGAGTTGTTTCATGCAAAATATTTAGAACTGAACCAAGCACATGGGAAACATTCAGTAATTATTGTGATTATTATCAATCCATACAGGCACTTTGTGGGATAGGTAGTCTTGTTATTCCCATATAACACATGAGAAAGCTGAGGCCAAGAGAGGTGAAGCGACTTGCCCAAGGTCACATAGCTAGTGAGTGCCAGAGCTGGGATTTGAACTCAGGCAATCTGGATCCAGAGCCACACCCTTAATTAGGACACTGCTGCCTCCCCTTGTGAATCTCTCTCATGGGGTTCTTAGAATGCATAAATGAAGTGCTGTCTGTGAATGCAAGTGCTTTGCAAACCACAAGCAATTTTCTAAACCCAAGGTGCTGTTTTTTGTGTGTCTCCCTGCTACCTGTGCCATGGCTTACAGGCACTGATAACTACATCTTGGGCAGCACAGGCTACGAGAATTGTTAGCAGTAATTATATTTACAATCAAAATAGTAGGCATGAGTTAATGGACTACTGGAGATCTTAACTATTATATTAAGATGAACAATGGTCTTCAACCATCTATCTACCCATCTACCTATCTGTCCATCCATCCATCCAATCATCCATTCAATAATTGTGTTTTGGGCACCTACTCTGTGCCAGCACTAGATGATCCAGACATAGTTCCTGCCTTCCAGAAGCTGACAGTGGGGAGGAGGGGTAATTAAATGAGTGACTTCTACAATATGATGGATTTGCCATGATGAGGAGTGACAGTTGCTACAGATATCCAGAGAAGGAATATCTTATCTGGGCCAGGGTATCAGGAAAGATTTTTCATCTCAGTATGAGTAGGGAGTATTTCTTTCCCATGTAAGTTAAGCAGGATTTAAGCTAAAAGATGAACAGAAAAGAAACTCAAATATACAATTCTCTGCTACTAAAGGGTTGGGAGGGACACAGTCAAAGGTGCAGGAAGGGATCTGATGTTTGAGGGATGCAATTCTGGGATAACAAAATTAGTTAAAAATCAGAAGTCTGCTTCTGTAGGTGATTGATCTTTAACTCCCTTCTTTGAAAACAAAACAAAACAAAACAAAACAAAACGCTCTTCTTTGGGATTTCTCATCACGGCTACCTCTTGTGATGCAGCTCTTCCCCCCACCCCCTCGTCCCCTGCTCCTGCGTCTCATGGGTGCATGCTTGAGACCACCCGTGTTCTGGGCACCTTGGTTTGTCCTAACTTGCAGAGCTCACTTTGGTACTTGAACTGACTGTGGGATTTGCTTGATCCGAGAGTGTGAATCCACTGGCGTAGAAGCACCTGTATGATGCCACACAAATGATTTTCTGGCAGACAGAACTGAAGACCTGCTAGCTTGTGTAGAATCGTATCTGTCATAGGGCACTCTCCACTATCTGGGCCTTCCCCACCTTGACAATGGCCTGTCCTATTCAGCACGGTGTGCTTTTCTTGGGGGGCCTTCCCTGACCAACCAAGACCGTGTAAATGCTCCCAACTCCAGATGTCTTTGGTATCATACTGCACATTACACTTTATTGATTGGACCCACTTAGTGGTCTCCCTTCCTCTGGAGCCTAAGAGCTCTGTGTGGGTGGTAGCCATGTTCTATTTTGTATCTAGTATGGTGCCTGGCATTCAGAGAGCACTCACGAAGTGCTTGGTGAATGAATGCATCAGTCTTTGGGTCATCTGTCCCTGGAGGTATGACTTTAGACAGGTCCTGAAACCTTATTTCCCCATCTAAAAAATGGAGTAGTGGTTCCTATTTCATCTATGTTACAGGTTTGCTGGGGTCTGAAAAGATATTAGAATCAGTTTGAGATACATCCCCCACCCTCCACTTCCCAGTTTCTCTTTGTTGTAATGACACACGGGTGGGAGGCTAATGTTGTAGCAGGCAGCCATCTTCTTAGCCGAAGCCCACCAGACTCTGATCCTCTCGCTGCCTCCTGCGAATACCACATGACTCAGTGGTCTAAGGCTGAGGGATTAAATGAGCTGTGTGACCTTGGAGAAGTCACTTAGCCTCACTGGGCCTCATCTGCAAAGTGGAGTCGACCTACCTGTCTTACAGGTTGTTGTGAGGACTCACTGATAACTTTGAAAAAGCTGAACCAACAGCTTTTTCAATCCTAACTGAAGGATGGGAGCTGGGACAATTGCAAATAAATATGTGCTAAAAATAGCTCTCGGATACAAAACCCTTCTGTTTTAAGATATGCTGAATTTAAATGCCACCTTAATACGTATTTTTAAAGTTCCCCTTTCCTCTGAATTGTCAGTAGTACCAATGACAGATGTGAGGGACCTAGGTCCCATTTGGAGATCTTGGGTTTTCAGTGTGGCTCCTGGCCCGGAATAGACACTCTACAACCCTGGTTTCTATACCTCTTCCTGACCCCCTCCCACCCTGTTATTAGCAAGTGCACCTCTCTCATGGTTGTGATGAGATTCATTTGCAGCCAGCACTCAACATGGCAGTCACCTCTGACCAAAACAATGGGCGCACAGGCTGGTATGGACTGAATGTGTCCCATCAAATTCGTATGTGGAAGCCCTATTCTCTGTGCACCCCTATTAGGAGGCGGAGCCTTTGGGAGGTGCTTAGGCCATGAGGGTGGAGCTTTCCTGAAAGGGATTCATGTTCTTCTGAGGAGACATGAGAGAAATCATCTTTCTCAGCCATGGGAAAACACAGTGAGAAGACAGCCATCTGTA